CACATCTAAAATGTATGGGTTGGCCGGTTTAAGAAGAACACTTGAGATTTTCCTAGTCCACAACCTATGGAGTTATTAAATTTTGCAGCCACACGGTGTATGTGTTTTTCAGTCACAGAAATAAAGCGTGAAATGTGTAGATGCCCTTTTTTCTATGTATTGTTCTTGAGGGGTATTTTTAACTGGAATGTTCTTGGCTATTTTTTTATCCATTGAGCAGACTGATATGCTTATTCATTTTATCGGCGATTCCTACCTCTTTTTTGTCACTACCGGTACATAATTAGCCCCCAAAAAGCTCACTAATCAGTTTTGTCTTAGTCAAGTTTGACTTTACGTTAATCGTGCGATAGTGGCAAAGGAAAATGCCAAACAGTGTACTGCACTTTCAGAGGTTTTGTTTTGCTTCTAATATTTGTTGCTATTTTATTTTCTCGCTTTCTTCGAATTCTTCACTGTCGTGTTTGCTTCAGCTCGCTTGTAGCGTTACCACAGAATTCTTCATTTGCGACCAATTCGTTGAAAAACTAACGACCCTGGGTGCCAGAGGCTTTTCATGCGCGGTTTCCGGTTACGGTTAAGTCTTCCGCAGACGAAGCTCCTCGTCGCACGCGAGAAAAAACTAGCCTGAGTATCAGGCGTTTCTGGGGAAAAGGGGAAAGATAGCCCCTTAGGAAGGCCTGATACTCAGGCTAAGAAAAAACCTCTGGTGCCCAGGGTAACGATTGGATGGAAAACGCGCAAATATCGAGTATGCAGTTTCAGCCTATCCCGATTCCTATGGCGTAAATATCTCTAGTAATCGACTCCTGGTATAGAGTGTTCACATTCACGTAGCAAGCATCTATGCAACTTTATTGGAACGAAAGAAAGGATTTACATAAGAAAAGAGTTCAACTCACACAGGATTGGTTAGGGACACCAACATGGTGATGGTTTCATTGTCCTGGAAAATCAATATTGTTCACTCACAATCGTACTCCATGACATCAAAATGCAATAGTAGAGTCCTTTTGATTCGAGGACCATTACGAGGACGACATTTGACTTAAAGTTTTCTTTGTTTTTGATAATTGTTGTTTTAGTTTTTTTGTTTGTTTTGTTTTTGTCTTTTTGTTTTTTTGCTTATTGTAAAACATAAACTAGACAACGCAGAAGCTTCAATGTTTTTACCATAAGAGATGGCACGCGTACGGTTATTTTTATAGAAAACAAGTTAAGCCCTCTCCTGATCACTTCTAACATTTGATAACTTACAAGTTCCCGTCACTACGAAACCCGTAAATGACGACGGCTATCGCATTTTCCCGCCAAATCCACCTTAGTTTACGCGTGCACTACTTGAGTTGGTGTTAAGCAAATCTCGTCATCGTAGTCGTTCCCGTCTTAAAATCTAAAGATCTCTATAAGTATTCTTGCAGACGGCACAAATGAAACTCAGTGGTAAAAAATCAAGTTTCCACAAGCAAAACTCCATACTCCAGTTATTTCATACTTGAACATTTTGCTAGCCTACGATTACAGCCGTCTCTTTTCGCTCTTCGCCGCTAGGAACGTTTCACTCCGGCTATCTTTTGCCGGCTCGTTGATCTAAACGTGCTAAATCATTATACGAAATGTAGTCACAATTCTTGACTTCTTTTAAACAATTTTCTTGAATGATACGTTTTACTCTTCGACGAACTTTAAACCCTTAAGGTTGATTTCCACTGACGCGTTTTTGGCTACGTACGTTAACGCACGTAAATTTTAATCACGTAAATAAAGTTGAGGCAAGATAAAAAGTGCTGAACTTAAACGAGAAGTTGAGCGAGGTTCGACTTTGACACTTACGAGCGACCTTTCATGCATTGCCTCTATTTTGTTTGTGAACTTAAATCTTACGCACGAACGCACGTAAAAAAATTACGCGACACTGGAAATCAACCCTTCGTGTGCTAGTCTACTTTAGATTTGGTTCAACCTTGGCCTCTCATCTTCTCGGGATCACATAATTTCCTTCTCACAGTGCAAATAAATTCTTGGTACTTTACAAACTACAGTCTATATCACGGTTAACCCGACCAATTTTCCACAGTAAAATTTATCGTACAGTAAAAGGCTATCAAAACACTAATTTACCTAATTACAAAAATGAAAGCTGAATATTTATTATTGACATCTACAAAGTTGACACCCACTTCCTGACTTCTTCTTTCTCTTCTTGGCATCTTAACAAAAACAAAAAGACGTATCATGTAGAAGCCAATACTAGCCAACTTTTATTGCTCTAGTATCTTATAACGCGCCTAGCACCGTCTAAGGGAGTAATGATCAAGCAAGGGGCAAGTGACGTGGGAAATTGCCTTATCCACATTTATACCTGCCATTTTGGACTTGGAGAGTGTGGGGACTGGACCGAGTTCCCGTCCAATCCTTCTCCTGTTTCGCGGGAATTTTTTTGTGTTTTACATCAGGTGTGTTCGAAGTTCTAGAAGGTGATCTGTTTCAGGATGATTTTACGATGGCATTTTATTCCTTTGAACGGGTGAATGACCAGTGCGGTGTCACGTCGTGGGCTGTGCAAGAAACAGGAATGCTTCCTTTGTTGTCTTGCGATATGACTGCATGGTTAAAGCACAAGTATAAGGGTTCAACTGTGTCCGGGGAAGAAGAGGAAGACCTGGCTATGCCAAAGCTACAGGTGATTCAAAAGATCAGTTAGGGATCATACACGCGCAGAAATGGCTCTTATCGCGGTTTACGGGACTCCTTCACATGAAGAGAGACGATGATATATGATAAACCATAAACAAACAATCTGAGACGACAATATCATAAATTATATATCATCGTCTTTCTTCAAGCAAAAGAGTTCCGTAAACCGCAATAAGAGCCATTTGTGCGCGTGTATGATCCCTAACTGATCTTTTGAATCTCCTGTAGCTTTGGCATCACCAGGTCTTCCTCTTCTTCTCCGGACACACTTGATATACTTGTGCTTTAACCATGCATTCATGCCGCTATCGCAAGACAACAAAGGAAGCATTCCTGTTTCTTGAACAGCCCACGACGTGACACTGCACTGGTCACTTACCCCTCCAAAGGAATATATAAAGTGCAATCGAAAAACAATACTGAAACAGATTCCTTTCTAGAATTTCGTACACACCAGGACCCAGTCGCTCGAAGGCCGATTAGCGCTTAACCTGGAGTTAAATTTAACCCGTGTTTGTTTTTCTTGTGTTTAAAAGCATTTTCTCGGATAATTTTCTCTGCTATTTTTAGAGCTTCCAATCATCAACTTGTAGACAAAAAGAAATTAAAACTGAAATGCTTTTTAAGCTTTCAAATCTGAATTCAAATCTCGCACTAACCCCGGGTTATCTTAACCCTGCTTTGAACAACTCGGCCCTCATAAAAAACACAACAAATTCCCGCGAAAAGGAGAAGGATTGGACGGGAACTCCGTTCAGTCTCCACACTCCAAAATTGCAGGCCAGCTAACTTGATGTAATAACAATTGCATCATCTCAATGCAAGGATTTGTTTGGATTGTTTTCTTTATAAAAGCAAAACAAGCTTTTTGTTATCCAGCTCTCCTAACTGTGGATGGATGGTTTCATTTTTTCATCTCTAAAGGACTCGGAAAATGACAGTTCACCCCGATACCGCTCACTGAAGCTCGTGTATGTTTGTATAATCTACATATGTATGGTCATACTCCTTTGCTGATGGGTATATTTACAACAACTGTTCAGGCTACTACACGGTCAGACGAAGAATATATGTTAGTGAACCTTTTGATAAGCTAAATTTATCTGGTAAAAATATAAAAAAAATGGGCCCTGCAAAGTATGGAGACTTAGAGTAATGCTTAGAAACATGACGTGAAACCACAGGTGTCCCGCAAGCGTAATATGGGCTACCTGTGGCGTAATACGAGAGTTTGTATGGGAAAAATAGAGTTTGAAACTTAGATGAAATAAATGTCAGGTCAGATGATGTAAAAGTACTCAAATCGAGCTGAAACTTTGTAAAAAGAAGACAACGACTCCAGGTAACAATATTTACACTTTATGGATAACTTTTATCGCCTTTGCTTCATTTATTTCATCTAAGTTTCAAACTCTATTTTTCCCATACAAACTCTCATATTATGCCACAAGTGGCCCAAATTACGCTTGGGCTACCTGTGGTGAAACTGAATATAAATCAAAGAAAAAGTTAGGCATCTTGTAAAGAGATCGTTATATCTACGTCAGAACATCAGCATTTGTGTTCCCATGGTGGTTGCTAGGTTTTCAAAGAATAAAATCACCTTCGTTTTGCTAAATCGTGTTTTTTGTGCTAATCAGAGGCCCGTTTTACACCAATTTCAAAACAACGACACTGATTTGGCTTTGACAATTAATTTTCACTTACAAAATACAGAATAAGGGCTTCTTGTCAACAATTTGGTTTGTTTATGACCTGAGTTATGCTCAAAATTCCATTTTGCATCGCCTTAGAGGGGCATGAAGTGTTTGTCCCAAAAATTCAATAAACCATAATAAGCCAAATTTTTCTCAAATGATCTTGATAACTGGTTGACTTAAGTAAACAGTGGTGTAGGTATGGAAGTTATGCAAGAAGGCAGGTGAATATAGCGAAATTTTGAAAAATGACTATTTTGGGTTGTAATTTTAACATCAATTTTGACCAAACTCTAGCCCCAGGCTCCTCTCTGTGCAATACCTTGACGGCAAAGTTACATGCATAAACTGAAAGCTCTATTATAGTAGAGCTCATGGTCAAATTCATTTGACAGTACAATTTACCAGTGGGGTCTTATCACACTTTCAAAATGCCCCCTGGAAGGCTGGATTTTCGATGCTCAAAGGGCTAAAATGAGACCCCCACCCCCCCGTAAATACAAAACTAAAAGTCAGAGAAGTGAGCCAAAGTGGCTTTTGAAATATCTCATCACACCCAACACTTTCTCAGACAATGACACTTAACAATAATTTGTGCTTTACCTTCCTTACTACTGCGTTGTTCATCGTCATCCTCATCATCTTCTTCTTTCTTGGGTTGTGATAAATGCCTTTCAATTGCATGAGTAATCTGCAAGAACTAACAGGTTTTTTTTTTTCATTACAAGAAACTTAAAGATACGGAAAGCAGGATTAGAGCGTTAACGGAAACTATTACAGTCAAACCTGGATTAAGGGGTGTTCTACCAACGTCCCAGCTATTGATTCCATAATTAATGTATATAGCGATTTTGAGTTTATCAAATTAAAATTATTAAGAAAGAATATATGAATTTCATAGATTCGAACTGCGGAAGAAAGAATGCAAAGAAGACCCTTGCAGTTTAAGACACAACTTATGCTGCTGTAAAAAAAAAAAATCAGTCGTTTTAGATTTTAACAAATTTCAAAGACACAGTGCCAACGTGATAACCATTCAAGACTGTGCAAAATCTTTCAAGAAGAAATATAATCTCCATAATATAGTTTTTTGCGTCTGTTAGCAGTCCTTACCTTATTTGTTGTTTTGTTGTGGCCTTGCTTGTCTGCTCTGATGGCCAAGGCACGTTGCTGATACTCCTTGGCTTGCTCGAAGTCACCTAATTTCTGGTAAATCAAAGCTAAGTTATTGTAGTCTCCTGCAACATTAACATGTTCCGGGCCGAGCTTGTACAGATCGATGTCAAGAGCACGTTGCTGATACTCCTTGGCTTGCTCGAAGTCACCTAATTTCTGGTAAATCAAAGCTAAGTTATTGTAGTCTCCAGCAACATTAACATGTTTCGGGCCGAGCTTGTACAGATCGATGTCAAGAGCACGTTGCTGATACTCCTTGGCTTGCTCGAAGTCACCTAATTTCTGGTAAATCAAAGCTAAGTTATTGTAGTCTCTTGCAACATTAACATGTTCCGGGCTGAGCTTGTCCAGATCGATGTCAAGAGCACGTTGCTGATACTTCTTGGCTTTCTCGAAGTCGCCTAATTTCTGGTAAATTAAAGCTAAGTTATTATAGCTTCTTGCAACATTAACATGTTCCGGGCCAAGCTTGTCCAGTTTGATGTCAAGAGCACGTCGCTGATACTTCATGGCTTGCTCGATGTCACCTAAATGCTTGTAAATGCATGCCAAGTTTTCGTAGCTTGCTGCAACATCACCATGTTCCGGGCGGAGCGTGTCCAGATGATTGTCCAGAGCACGTTGCTGATACTCCTTGGCTTGCTTCAAGTCACCTAATGTCTTGTAAATTAAAGCTAAATTCGTGTAGCTTGATGCAACATCAACATGTTTCGGACCGAGCTTGTCCAGTCGGATATCAAGAGCACGTTGCTGATACTCCTTGGCTTGCTCGAAGTCGCCTAATTTCTGGTAAATTTTAGCTAAGTTATGATAGTTTCCTGCAACCGTAACATGTTCCGGGCCTAGCTTGTCCAGTTTGATGTCAAAAGCACGTAGCTCATACTCCTTGGCTCGCTCGAAGTCACCTAAATCAATGCAAATTGAAGATAAACTCGTGTAGCTTGTTGCAACATCAACATGTTTCGGGCCCAGCTCTTGAAGCTTAAAAGTGAGTGAATATTCAAAATATGTTTTTGCTCCTTCGAATTCACAATGCATTTGACAAATATTTCCAAAGTTTTTGAATTTTTCGGAGATGCCCTTATCATGAACTTGAAAGAAATTATTTTGCGAAAACATTTTGTTAATTACCATAGTTAAAGCTTTGAAATGTGGAGCGATGTGTCTAGTGTTCAGTCTCATACTCTCTGGAGGAGTCGCGCCGATAAATTCGTTGAACGATGTAATGGCCCCACTAACAACCTCATTGGTTTGGCTTTCTGAACACTCTTTTGTTACAGTTTTAATAACGTCATGCACAACCTGGTGAAGTCGAACAAAACAGCCACCCTCGTCATCTTGGAACAGCAGAAGTGAGCTTCTTTTTAATCTCATGCGAATTAGTTCCTTGTCCGCGTCATCAAACTCTTCGTGTGCGTTCATGATGTAACTAACTGCTATGTCGACGTTCAATGGCCTTGGAGCGCAGACGGCAAGAAAAGTGAAAAGGTGTTTTTGAAATTTGTCGGATCTCATTAGTGATTCTACGGCTAACTTTATTGCTTTGGTCATTGAATTTGGGTAAACTGGATTGGTGTCGACAAGTGTATCTTCCGTTTTCTTTCTTTTTCCTTTTTTTAAGATCTTCAGGTAGTCCTCCCACCCAAAATGCGTCGATACTTTGTCCTGCCGAATCTCTTTAACAAAGACGGCAGCGCCTGCTAAAGCAAGAGGTTGATAGTCCAGTCTTTGTGCTACTGTTCCTACTAGCTCGCTATCTGGGATACCGGAAACCGTGGACAATAATGAACAGGCGTCATTGGGCTCCATACCTTTGCTTGCCGAGATGTGGTTAACAAAAGAGTTTTCTGAGGGAATTGATGTTGTGTCCTGGGTCGTAATCAGCAACTGGCCCCTCGCCCAAGCTTCGTTTTCAAACTGTGGTAAATGGACATGCACTGAAGACAGAGTAGTGACATTGTCAACCACCAGTAGCCACGACGTGTAACAGGTAATTTTTACAGCGACAAGCTTCTTAAGCCTAGTGATCTTTTTGTCCAAGGTCCAGTCCTTTGAGCTGAGGGTTTTCACAATTGAATAGTCTGGGTACTTTAAATGGCGAGCAAATGAGGCATACGACTCCAGAAGTGAATCTAGACTAGCAGCATTTAAGGTCATTACAAATGAAGAGCCACCTGGCATTTCTTTGAGGTCGTCAAAGAATCTCTCAGCTACAAGGCCAGCTAGCTGTGATTTTCCGCTTCCAGGATTCCCTGAGATGTATAGATAACTCAACCTGTTGTCACTGGACTCATTTAGTTCCCTCAGCTGTTGGACTATTTTGGCTACTTCACTTTCACGATCACCGATTTCATGCGAAGGTTTAGGAGGGAGAACACAAAATGAGGGTGCTTCATTTTGAAGCTGATCTTCAAGGACCTGGCGCTGACTCTCTTTTTCTTGAACTTCTTGTTTCAGATTATCAATTTCTTTGAGGACCTTTGTTAAATCTTTTGTTGGAAATGTTTTCTGACATTTTAGGTTTTGAATTTTTACAGTGGGAAGACTAAGCGCTTGAAAGGCAACATCAACCTTGCTAATAGCATTATGAAAATCGATCTCAGAGAGACTACCTTGTGGCATGTGAGCGAATTCTTCATTCCTGAAATTTCGTAGATCATCTACCTTTTTTCTGACTATTGCGCTAAGACCTGGCCCGACGCAATCAGAGAAAAGGATGGCGTAAAATAGCATTGTACAATCCCATTTCCCACTGTTTCCGTTTTTCATAGTGGCCAAAAGATGAGCGTTTCTTTTTTGATTTCGAGGAGACTCTCTGTTATAAAAATCCATTCCATTACGAGGCTTCGTCTTTCCATTCTCCCGTTGTTGTTTTGTACAGTTTGTCCCGTTCTTGTTTAAATATTTCTCTCAGACCCTCCGCTAGTATATCAGTAGTTACATAACAAATTCTGTAATAGTTTAGCTGCTCATCGGTATATTCGTTTAAAGAGGCCATATTTGATGCACCTCTGATGCTTGAAACCTTTTCGGAGAATTAATCCTGCAAGTAGCAAGTAGCAAGTTCAGAGGGGGAAAAATTATCAGTGACGTAGATAACACGGTCTATGAAGTAAAAACATTGACTTCCCAACACAAGCATGTAATTCATGAAGCTTGACCAAGACCCAAATTTACTAGTATATCAGATGTTAGATAACAAATTCTGTAATAGTTTAGCTGTTCATCGGTATATTCTTTTGAAGATGCCATACTTCAGGTACTTGATGTACGCCTGATGCTTCAATCTTTGGGGGAAGATTTTCTCTGCAATTAGTGACAACTTACCCGTTCATCTTTTATCTGTATTCATTTTTCTTTTATAGCCCCCGTTGAAAGTCTGTGTTGCAAACTGATATATCGGGCAAATATAATTCACCACTTTATTTTTGCTTTCTTTCTTTAGTTTCTTCTATCACTCTTCCTGCCGTGAGGATCATTTTACTGTTTTCAATTTAAAATTTGGTAGTCAAGATTTTACTTATCCAGGTCTACTAAAGATCTGGCGGACCCTCACTGGTTTGTCGTTGTGGTTTTGCCTTCACAAGTGTTTCTGATACTCGGGAGTTATACCCTTTATAAGCTATATAGGTGTGTACCACAAGTGGTATGGTTTTTTTTAGCCGTTTTGGTCCATGAAAACGGATTTTGTCCATTAGAGTCTCAAAACGGGTACCGTTTTCAATGGAACCACAAGAGTGTATAAACGTATTTTTGCCTAAAAAAACTTATGGACCAATTTAGGTTTCTGGGAAACTGCCCACCTACCCCTCCCCTAAGCTAACATTAACACTTACTTCTCACTTAGCGCAAAATGATGGCTTAGGGGAAGGGTAGGTGGGCAGTTTCCCAGAAATCTAAACAAATCAGTCCAAACTTATTCAGTGTCAGATACTACTAAGTGAAGATAAAAAAAGGCTCAAAAATAGCTTGAATTCACTTGGACGAGGTAATGGGTTCCCAAAACCGAGTATAACGTTTAGAACCAGCTCTGGCAAGTGGTTATGCATTTTAGAGGGGGGCCAGTTTCTCGAAAGTCTCGGTAACTACAGTCGAACCTCTCGGTACGGACACCCCTCCAATACGGACACCTCTCTATTACGGACACTTCGCTCTGTCCCTTGGGTATAAGAGAGGTTCGACTGTAGTAGGGCTAATTTTATGCCCTTTTCATTAGATCACCTTTAATTTTTTCTCCCTATTTTACCGCCACTTCTTTATTTGCAGCCTGCAGAATAGCCGCTATTTTTTTGGCACGACGCGTGCGTGGAGCGCGAGACACGCGCGACGGATGAAAGCGCTTTCTCGCGCACATCTTCACTAACTAAACTAAGGTCGAATATTTGTTCGGCATAACTATGCAAAACAGTCCGTCATGCTTCATCTGTAGAGACTGTCGATGAAGATTATAGAGTTACGACGGTAAATGAACGATCAGAACATAAAGCTTATGGCTTTTGTTTTCTTTTTGAGAAGTTTCACAAACATCTAAAGAGAGTTAACGTCTATAAGTTACTTCAAGCACACTTAATCTAAGTGCGCAATAGTTCTTTTATACTGGCTCTACGTTGGTAACTTTTACCGCAGGCCGAAGCTTGTTTTCACTTCATTTTGCTTCCAGACCGTTCCAAAACCAGAGCTTACTTCGGCAACTTGAATAATGAACCCAAACAGTCAAAAATCGTCACAAAAATGCTATCATTCCTTACCATTTGCTGCGAAAGTCTCCGTTCGACGTTCTTTTGAACAGTTTCATAATTTGAATAAGCCACAACGAAGGAAGCTTCCCGCGTCATTCAATACTACCACGTAACTGAACATGCCATTTTATACAAAGAAAACGGTTTTTTGACCGCGTGGAGAAACACGGCTGCTTATTGCATTTTCTTACCGTTTGGAACTCCTGACTCAGGCAGCAAATTTCGAAGATACCAAGTCTTTACCACTGAGCTTCCGCTGGAATGACGAAGGGAAACAGGCTGTCAAACCGAAAGCGGAATGTTTTAAGGCGTGACGACTATTTTTATTTTCATTATTATTCCTTTCAAATATGCATTACTGACTAAGCGTGAGGTGGTCAATATGACTGGATATATGACCAAATTCGTTTTTTTTTTTTTTTGCATTTTGTTAGAGTTTCTAAAAGTCCTTTTTTTTCTTGGTTCGTTATGCCACGAGACTTCGTCGTTCGCTCGGTCGCTGCGCGACTTCATGCATTGAAGCTCGTCTTCGCTCACTTTTAAGAACTTATGAGAGGTCGACTTGTCGCAAGTCTTGCATGTTGTTTACCGATACGAAGTCGGGGCCAATGAAAAAAAGAACATCGACGCCAATATACACCACTTGCACATCTCCCATAATGCACCTTCTTTGCCCCCCAAAATTTTCCGTAAGTACTATTCTCAATTTCCCTTGGGACGGCTGTAATATCCAGGAGAAATGAATTGGGGGCAAATAAGGTGCATTATGGGAGATGTGCAAGGCGAATCCAGCTATCTTGACCGAACAAGCTTGGTCAATAAGGGATTTATTTTTATTGGCAAATTATCGTGGTTTTGATTCACAACGGTTTGTCTTGCTGTTATTTAGTATTTTACGAGTAGGCAGGCCACTAAGACACTTTCTCGCTTACCCTTCCCAGAGTCCTTTGCGTCAACGCTAAACGTTCCCATGGTCCACTGAGCGATACTATCGCTCGCAGTCGCGTTTTCCGTTTTCCAAACACACTTCAGACGCTAGGAACGAGGCAGTTTCTCTAATTATATCGAGTACTGACATCTTAAAGACTAACAGAAATCTACTAAGCATGAGGTGTGTAGACAAGATACCCGCATGACCGGTATGAGATTAAATAGCGCGCGTGACATCATGATGCCTTGAACATTTCGGATGGTAGACCTGTGGCACGACTTAAAGATATAGATAGATCTCTCCCCCATTCCTTTGAAGGAAATTACCAACTTGTGCCTAGAAGAGACCTTTTTAGCTTGAATGTTTTGCTTTCAGATCAGGCAATCCCAGAATTTATCTTTTGTGTCGCCATAAATTACGCATACATATACACGCGGATGCACGCGAACGCGCTCGCGAATAGGAAAGGTCTGGAGTGAGGGTGCAAACGGAGAGTGAGACTGGAGAGAGACACACGCCCCATGGGCGTGTGAAGCCCACGTGCTTAGCACGCAAATATCGATCAGCCCAGCGATTCGCACCTTGCAAAACTGATTTTGAGAAAAAGTACGACCGTTTTCCAGTCTAAGAGGTGTACTGACAAAATACAGTGATTTGTATGAAATTTAATCCCAAGCTTGTTTCATTGGAATGGAACAATGGAATGCGGAAAGGTTTATGAACTGTTCACAGTCGCCTATTTACCGAGTCTAACCTGGGAATGACGATCAATTACACTTAGGGAGTGGGGGACGCCCATAAAAGCAAGATGGCCGCCCGTAATGATAGGTGCACGATATCGACAATCGTACGGTAGAATAGGGAACTGTGAACAGTCTAAAAGGTGTTTTGGTAGGGGATCCTCTTCAGTCGTTATCTGTACCGGGATAAGATCAGGAACTTGTACAGTCAAACCTCACTTTACGGATACCTCGTTATTACAGACAGTTTGCTTTGTCCCTGGGGAAAGAAAGTTCTTACATTTTCTCTAAATTCAACCCACTTAATACGGACAACGGGGTTTGACTGTACTGGCTCAAGATAAACTCACTGCGCATGCGACGCGGATTTTTGGCTAGAAAGCGCATGCGTAATAGAACGTTTCACGTGACGCCACGGAAGCCATATTGGTTACAATAAAATGGCGGCCATGTTGGTCTTCCAAGCAATTCTTGTGGTAGTTGAGATCTTTTCTTGTGTAAACACTTTCTTTTGGTCCAATGAATTTACATAGATGCTGGCCTCTATTGGTAGTAATGACGCATAACTTGCAATTAACGCTGATGTTTTTTGACTAAACTAAGAATGGGTTAACACACAACCCAAGGTAAAAAGATCTATTATTAAAGCGACTTAATCAGGCGCGCACGTGAAGATTAAGGTGGCTCCGTAATTAATACAAGAGCATTTTGCTGTGACAAATTTTCCGTCATAACTTTTTGGTTCTTAACGCGATGACTGCGAAACTTTGCAAAGAACAACATATATCATTCGGCAATAATACGAAATATTCCGATTTCATTGATGGTAAATATTTCTTGAGAAATTAGCGCTTAAAAGGACCCTAATGTTCAAAGAAAATCGCGTCTAGTAAAAAATTTTGCTGATATTTTTTACTGAAATTTCTGGTATCGGCTTTAATTGATATAATAAATATGCCAGAGGAATTTCAGAAAAATCGTTGGAGCAGAAGTCCGTAACTAAAAGTCGCTCAAAATTCAGCTGCGAAATTGTTTTGGAATTTCAAAAATAAATTACTATCAGGAAGAAGGAGACACCAGTTTGAATTTTCGGGACAAGTAAATTCAATGTTTGCTAATTCTTAAAACAAAAGCCGATTGCCTATCGTGCTATTCTTTAAAAGGTACTTTTTAGTTTTAGAAGCACCATAAATTGCTCCAAACCTTGCTCTGAAGTAGAATGACTTGTTCTTCGACATTTTTAAAATATCCCTTTGCAGTTTTGGCTCAAACTCCTGCTGCATACATTTTGATGTATTGCAATTCATTTTCAACGACTTTTACTGCTGTTCGTTGCTTCCAACTCAGGAAAAAAGTATTGAGATTGGACGCTACCTCGTATCAGAGCTCAGATAGAACTATCCAGCACCTTTGTTTATGACTACAAAATGAGCACGAGCGGCAGTTCTGCGAGGAATTCGCACCTCACCCAGGGGGGACGAACGACAATGATGACCATGCCTGTGAACCGAATAACATCACAGTGCAAAATAAAATTATCGCAAAAATACTGCCCGTGAATAAATTTACAACTCTGAAATTTTTGTCACTCCTTCCTTCAATGAATGGGTATTTTTTCTTGATTATTATGTTTTGCTCTGCAATACATGTTTATACAGATCGGTTCACAGACATGGGTATCATTATCATTCGTCCCCCCTGGCTGAGGTGCGAATTCCTCGCAGAGCTACCGCACGTGCTCATTTTCTGGTCATAAACAAAGGCGCTGGACAGTTCTATCTGAGGTTCGATACAAGGTAGCTTACAATCCCAATACCTTTTTCCTGAATTGGAAACAACGTACAGCAAGAAAAGCCGTTGAGGATGCATTGCAATACATCAAAATGTATGTAGCAGGAGTTTGAACCAAAACTGCCAAGGGATATTTTAAAAATGTCGAGGAACAAGTCATTCTACTTCAGAGCAAGGTTTGGAGCAATTTATAGTGCTTCTAAAACTGAAAAGTACCTTTTAAAGAATAGCACGATAGGCAATCGGCTTTTGTTTTAAGAATTAGCAAACATTGAATTTACTTGTCCCGAAAATTCAAACTGGTGTCTCCTTCTTCCTGATAGTAATTTATTTTTGAAATTCCAAAACAATTTCGCAGCTGAATTTTGAGCGACTTTTAGTTACGGACTTCTGCTCCAACGATTTTTCTGAAATTCCTCTGGCATATTTATTATATCAATTAAAGCCGATACCAGAAATTTCAGTAAAAAATATCAGCAAAATTTTTTACTAGACGCGATTTTCTTTGAACATTAGGGTCCTTTTAAGCGCTAATTTCTCAAGAAATATTTACCATCAATGAAATCGGAATATTTCGTATTATTGCCGAATGATATATGTTGTTCTTTGCAAAGTTTCGCAGCCATCGCGTTAAAATCGAAAAAGTTATGACGGAAAATTTGTCACAGCTAAACGCTCTTGTATTAATTACGGAGCCACCTTAAGCGAGAATGGGACGAAACAAGAGACCTTCTCTCGCGCACACCTCAGCTCTGTGGTTTAAGCGACAGATAAAGTTTCCCTTTGATGGTTTTCTGTTCGGGCTGTATATTTCTAACAATAGCAGCAAGCTTTTTCACCGTCTCATCATTTGACAGGCCCGTTCGTTTGCTCTTGAACTTTTGCAAAAGGTCCTTGCTGGTCATGGGCTTTCTTGTTAGGTACCTTCTCATGCCTTCCTCAGTGATTCCCTGAGGGCCTTCCTCACCACCGGTCGGTGTTGGGGTGCTTGTTCTTGAGCCTCCTCCTGCCCCTCCCGCGGAAGGTGCCGGGGATACACGAGGTTTTTTGCTTGCCGGACTTCCCTCTTCGCCTGGGGTATCTTTTTTACTTGCTTTTGCTGAGCGCTTCTTTGATTTTGCTACAAAAACCCAGACAATTTAAAAAATTGTTTCAACACGGGGAACATGAAGCTGATCGGGAACAAATGGAACAACATCCAAAATGCTAGTTTGTAAAATACTGTGAAAGAAATAGTACCTGACGAAGGTTTTGCTAAATAGGTTTCATTTATACGGTCACTCCGTACAATTTCATCTACGTACCCGGAAAATAGTGGGGATATACTTACAGGGAGTCCCTGGTCTGTCCTGACTCAGCTTTGTAGCAGCGGCAGCAATGGTATTAGCAGCGCCGTCTGTAGCAATCGTTGGGGTCGATGAACCGCTATTAGAAGAGGTACTGGAGCCACTCCCAGACTTTTTCTTTTTATTCTTGTCACCTTTACAAACACAACATATATTTCAGATCATATACAAGGAAAACACTCTCAAGATAAACAATTTGTTCACCAGTTAGCATTTAAGTTATTTCGCACTTAAGGCAAATTTCCCGCCTCAACGCTGTGACCGGCCACGTGTCAAGCAACTAAAAGTGAAACAAGTCATAGTATTTTCCGCGCTTTGCCACCTCCAAGTCTTTACTCTGTATTTTGATTGGTTCATTTAATTAGTTGCCTCTCATTTGATTGGCCAGAGCAATCCCCTTTGTTGCATTTGACTTACAATAGCCTCTCTTTGGATAATCGTAATCACCTCGATTACTGCTTCGTTAAGTGGCTTGGTGATGAGTCAGTTTCGTTAATTCTACGTCACTTCCGGCTCTGTAACCGGCCACATAGGGAAGCAAGTCATGGAATTTTCCCGCGCTATGCGACCGCCGCGTCTTTACTCTACTCGTGATTAAGCACCTCGGACTCCCGCTACGCGGTCGTCTGATTTTGTTTATCACTCGTATGATTACAGACCAAATTGGACTCCACTCAGTATTATTACCATTATCAACTGGCTGCCTGGTTCCACTAGACCTCTATGAATAATCCAAGCAGCCAAAAAATAAATAAATAAAATAGATAAATAAGTAAATAAATGAATGAATGTGATGAAGATTATAATGAAGTATGACGGGGTTTTACAACCATGATACCCCGCACAGAAACATCCCTCTCTGTTTTTAATGCTACACATTCTAATTACAAAAAATATCTAGCGTATTTGAGGCTATTTTTCCCGCAGCTACATGTAGATTACGCTAAATGAACTTCAGTGGTCATTGAAGTACTGGTATTGTTATTGTTAACATCACTTGCCCATCACGCAAGTTAAAAACAGAATCACTCACCCGATAGCAAACTCCACTAGCGGTAGCCCCGGGCTATCGGACACTTCTTTCTTTGCACACTGAATATACACTTAAGCCTTGAATTCTCAATCAGTTTGGGCTGTCACAAAGGGCTGGCAGCTGCATGGGTATTTCCCTCAGCTTTCACAAGCATATAACCATCCTAGTTCTTTCATTCTTTCACAGAATGAACAAAAAATAGAACCAAAGGTAGTTCACATTCCCCACCAACTAAAATTGCAGATACCCCGCTATCCCTCACAAATAAGCCCTGAATGGAAGATTTTGTTTGCTTTATGACTCCGCTATTGATTGAACTCTGTACCATTCCCAACTCTCTTATGCTTTTAAAATCAAGGATAATATGACTGCTGGACATACTAAGTTCTTGCTTGCCCTAATACCATGCCTTCACTGCAGTAGCTATTCCTAGCCTCCCACGTACACGTTCTTAGGGGTTTATCAGAGGTTAGTGGGGCAGGAACACGTAATGAACCCCTAAGAATATCTGCGTGGGAGGCTAGCCTGTTTCAGGCTCCGAGATAGTCAGGTCAGCAAAATTGAGAAAGCCCGAACACGAAAATAAAACAGAAGGAAACTGGAGTGGGGAAGGGTGGCAGAGCCTGTAATCATTTGTTTACAAGACTTGTTCTGGTATACCAGCTCCTGGTATACCTTCTGTTTGTTCAGAATTGACAGGTTACCGGTATATCAACACTTCTCAAGAAGGGTCATTACTATCACTCAGAAAGATGGCATCCACAAGCATGAGTTAGAGGAATTGGCTTGATAACTTCTGTCTAATGGACAAGTGTCTGTGAGATTATATTATGGTCTGTGGCCACCTTACCATGCCAAAGCTCCACCCCAGTCATGACTCAGCAAAGTGCAAGATTTGTAATCAAGTGCCTCAATCTGTAAATAAATTAATAAATTGTATTAATATCTTTTCTGAGCTCACATTATCAATCCTATACATTACGGGTATTGATATAAAAAAAAAATAAAAATCTTCTTTTACCAGCTGCAAGAAAACTCTGATGACCTCCTTTGCAACACAGTATAATATAAAATATTATAGCCCTTATTTCTGGATTGGACAACATGTACTCAAAGCTGTACAGACATTGAAGAAAAAATTTTATTCTTCTTATTTATTTAATTTTTGTTTTGTTTCTTTGTTTTTTTGCATTTGTGATCTTTTTACAAAATCTTCTAGACTATGATGATTAATTTAAAAGTGTCCTTTGAATCTACAAAATATTTTATAACAAAGTTCACGAGGTGCATACAGAGGATTAAACGTCTTTATATTTTCTTCACTCAGTCTGTTGTTTCAGCAATACATGTAAGTGCACTTACAATTTCTTTAATGTCGTTAACCAATAATGACGTCTTGTAGTGTTCTTACCCTTTAGGACTGTCACTTTCACCATAGCCCCTTAAATACAAAATACTGCTGTAAGATTTAGCTTTTTAAAAATTCTGTAATTTTGTTTTTCATGAAATCAAAATAAACTGCTGAGAATGAGATAGGGGATGGTCATATTCAACAGTTTTGAATTAAATTGCCACGTGACTGAGCTATAATTTCTGTCAGTCTCAAGGATGCCAAAAATAAGTTAGCTAACTGGACGAAAATCCCACATTTTGTTGTGTAACTTAATTACTCAGGTACGTTTTACAGATGTAGCAGCTGTGCATAACACAGTTTGGCTACTTGCAATTTGTATTTTACAAATCATTCTATACTTTTTACAGTACCTCAAATCCACAGCAACCATCCTGAAATTATCACTAAAAGCTATCAGCTGATATCGCCAGGAATATCAAAACTGCAAAGTGATTTTAAAACAGGGTCAGTGGTTTTCAATGCATAATATTTTCTAAGTTACTCATTATTATATATTTAACTTCTTTGTATTAATAATAATAATAATAATAATAATAATAATAATAAATATAATTATAATTATAATAATATTGTAATAATGGTTTATTAACAGTATTTCCATGAAAAAATGGCACTACATCTGCCAATAAATTACAAAATATACTTACAAGTAGACTGATGGAACTGGATTAAATCTTGAACATTTATTGCTATACTCAGAGTTTCATGTCTCTTGCCAAGCAATCATCAGGCAACTTTTATTTGCATGTTTACCCTAGCTTGTTAGCCCTTACTAAAAGGTGGTCTTCTGTGTCTAAAGCACAAATTATAACTGCCTCTGAAGCAAAATAATGATTTATTTTGTCATGTCCAGTCCTTTATATCTGAATTGAAGATATTTTAAAATACCTAAATATGTACGTTCCATTTGTTAGCATTCCTTAAATATCTTCTTTGCTTTGTTGCTGCTTTTGACTAATTACTATTTCTATTCTAATTTTTTTTAACTGATGTTTTGGAGTGAGTCCTCTCAAGGCGTTTTTTTGTTTCTCTTAGGGTATGGTAAACTTCATTAATAAAATTTAATGATCAAATAACAAACCCTTGTACTTCTAGATCCAGATGGCAGGATGATTTAAACTTTTTCATGGCTTTGGTTTACAAAAACATCTGCTGCCATGACAGTAAAAATAATAAAACATAAGCAACATGCGTACATTACCTCAGGGAACCCATGTATACACAGCATAAGTGGTTTCCCTGTGTCTCCTTTAGCAACATAATGGATCCTGATATTTGATGCTGTTCTCAGGAAATGGTGTTCACCAAGCTCAGGGTCAAGAAGGCACGAAGGAGCTGTAGAGAAATGAAAACATCAACTCTTTAACAGTCAAGCCAGGTCAAGCATATAACCCCCATGAAAATTTCATTAATGAATAATTATAAATATAATAATAATAATAATAATAAACTCTATTTAAGTGTCAGGTACTTTAGCTATGAAGCTAATTGGTAACCTATGAAGTATAAAGATATATATGTACAGCAATAAAATCAATTATCATTCGAAGCAAATTCTTCTCTCTTTTCATTGGCCGACAAATAACTGCCTACAAATAATGGTCTGCTCATGCACAATGCTGTCCAATTGTATTTGGCTGCAAATAATATTCTGCTCATGCGAAAAGGAAACCGTGCTTTTCTCCTTCTTGCGATCGCTCTTGCATGAAAATGGCAAATGAAAAGGATATTCATTAAAAAAAACAAACTCAGTGATCGAATGATAAAACAATTATTGAACTTGGTTATCACAAAATATCGTGATTTGTCAGTGTCTCGCAGATCAATTATTTGCTTCAGCCTTCGGTTTTGGCAAATAATTGATCTGCTCGCCACAGACAAATTAGAATATTTTGCTCAACCTTGTCCAGAAATTGTTAAATATTTACAGTTAAAAAGAAAAAATAAATAAATAAATAAACAATTCATATACACAAAGCATGAATATGCAAAGCAGAATCCTTTAGCAGTTGTTAACTTCAGATTCATTGATAAGGCATAGCCCATATGACAGGCACTTGTGGTCAAACAGCAGATAACAAACACAGGCAGCATGATTTTTCCTTTCTTTCTTCTAGTGAGTAAAACAAGCCATTGGGAGACTTCTCAAAAACAGTCAGTAAAACTCATCTAGCTGACAGGTCTTTTCCTTTATATGGTTCATTAAATAATAGAAGAAAGCAAGAAAACTGCTTTCTTCTATTCTCGTTTCAAGCTGAAATTGATGCCTTCAGTTTGTAATTCTAACAATGAATTCTGTACAGAAATCTCATTACACTTCACAAACAACATATTTTTAAATGATTACTGAAAGATCGGCCGTGATGTTAATTTCAACCAATCGGATTAAGTATCAAGGCCGTGATTGACATGTTTTGAAAACTGACCTATTAGGATTTTAACATTTCTCTGGTGGATGTTTATAACACAAAAATAATGGCCTCCTTGCAGGCCTTTCCCACCCTCCCTCCTCACCCCCCCTCCGCCTTTCGCATTTCTCTCCCGCCCAAAGTCCCTTTTCCCTTCAAACGCTTGCCATGCAGTAGTGTGGTATTTGAACACTGCATTGACCAGGCCTATCTTTACAGTTTGATGTGTGTCGTAACCGCGTGCAGAATAAAACATACAGGCCAACACTAAATACAAAGAAGACATCAACTGCAAATCCAAGGAATCCAGGAATCTGCCTTTAAATTTGCTCATCCATAGCTCTACGTAAGCAAGTAAAGTCTGCTATTTCTAAAGTACTGGTGAGTGTTGTTTTGTTTTCAGAATCAATTTTGTGAATGGAGTCTCGGAAGCGACATCACAGGCACCCAGCAACACAACGTTCTCAAGAGTCTTTGGAGATAGAGAAGCTTAGCTGATCTATCTGTTCATTTGCTGATAAGCAATTGAAATTTAAGCTCAATTTAGGAAAATCTTTATACTCATTCGCTGTGTTTTTGTCATTGGTCAGGTGCTATTTGCAGGTATTTCTAGGTTTATATAGGGCAAACACAGAGATCAGTAATAAAAGGTTTTTTGGAAAAGGTGGAAAAAGGCAAGGAAAAGGCACATTAAAAATTTTTAATTAATTATTATTTAGGTTTGTTTACAAATTTTGTTTGCCAATTGGTGACTGCTTTGTTAGCATGAGTATGTAAAAGACCTCATAAAAATACACGTAGGTAAATGTTTGTTTCAGAGCAGGACAGGGCTGTAAATCTTATTCTTACTGGCTGCAAGACATATCTGAGGAATAGCAAAGAATATGAATTATGGGGAAACATAAAATCGAACCAAACCTCCAGAAATACTCCTGCGTAAATTTCCCTGCGTGCATCCAACTTGCTTCCGATTGGTTTTTAAAAAAACAATCAGGTACTGTCAGACTTGCAAATGCACAATACCGTGAACCTGTCCCTTTAAAAAGTTCAAATGCCCCAGAGGTTGCCCTGGCGGGGGTGGGGGTTGGGGTGTTGGATGGTGAAGTTTCAAATTGATTGGCACGTTATCCTGCAATAGCAGAAGTCACTGTTCAAATACAGGGAATAACATTTCACGGTTACGCATAGTAAAAAAGTATTTCACTTGTGTTTACTAGTTCGATTTGTTTATTCACATGGCGTCCTTCATAGCAGTTCTTTGGACAGTCAATGAATCGAAAACAAAGAGTGGTATTACAGTCAAACCAGGTCAAGCGTTCCCGTCGCTAACAAACTAATGAATTCATTAATGGAAAAATGATTTCGTTTGTTGATTCAATAATCCATTCATAAAATGAATAATCCAACGGTCAAATTGTACCTCGATTCAATAATCAAATGTTGATTTGGTTTATGAACAAAATCTACCTGTTCTTTATTCTTGTCTGTTGTGTTCAATCGTATTTGCTTCCCTTTTCCTGCCGTTTACGATTGCGTTTTTCATTGCCTTTAATCAAAATAACAGCTGAATAGACAGACCGCAAAC